ATTTAAATTTGGGTTTTACTTGGAAGTGTTAGATTTTCTACACTAAGAAATAATTCTTTCGCCTCTGTTTAGTTGATAATTCAAGATGTCAGTTTGTTTTTGAATTTCAAATTACTTTGCTTTTTCAAGATTTTAATTTAAAAAGTTTTTCTTTGAAATTCAAAATTCTTTGCTTTTGCAGCATAAAATTCACCTTTTGGGAGAATTCATTGTTTCAAATTGGTGTTTGATAGGATGTTCTTACAAGGTCTTTTGTAGTATTATTGCTACATTGTGAATAGTTTTTAATTTTAAGGAATTTATTTATTCACTGAAGGTGTTTGATATTTTCACTACTTTTTTCTACGTATTATGGGTAAGTTTTCAATTTTTGGAAAGGTTCATTTCAAATTCAGGGGAAATCTTAATTTATGATTTTACTTTGTATTTTTGGTTATTTCTCCTTGCTGTGAGGAGGACCAGAGTTTTCGAGAGAATTGTTAAGAGTTAAAAAAGATATTGGAATGGTTCATCAGCTAATTCTGGGTAACGAAAAGCAAAGCTTTTCTTATGGAAGAGGAACTGTAATTGAATTCGGTGTATCCACCTCCTGACAACTTTATATCGGGAGTTAATTGGATTCATCTTCTTTCATGTTCCTTTTTCTTTTTTACTTTGTTAATTTTTGGTTTTCCTTGAGATGGTTTATTTAAATTTTTCTTTTAACATTTTTAGAATTCTTTTTCTACATTTAAAGAGTATTTTAAAATTCAATGATTATGAATTTCAATTTCTGCTCTTCGTGAAAAATTAGTTCTAAATTTCTTTCTTTATGTGTGTCTGTGTGAGAGAGAGAGAGACAGATATAAAAGAGAGAGAGATTTTTAAAGCAAGTGTTTGCAAACTTTGATGTTCTCTGTTACATTGTTTCTTAATAGTACTCATTAATGATACTTTCTACAATTTTTAAATTTTATAACCTAAAACTAACTAATATCTTTCTGTATGCTTTCCTCTTCGCATAATTGTGAAAACGAAACATAACTGTGAATGAATTTACTAAAACCAAATTCGTCATTAAAAATGAGTTTTGAAGAAACTCGTTGCGTGTTCAAAGGATTTATGTTAAATTCGTAATATCTGCCTACAGTTACGATTTTTACTAAAAGTGTTCGAATTTTACGATCTCAAAAGCGACATTTTTTTACAAAATTTGACATTTTTTGCAAAGACTTCAAATATTGTGTTAGTGCGGCTGTCTTTCGCCAAATCTGCATTTTAAGAGTGATGCCATACATTTGGTTACCGTTTGAATTCCTGCTTTTCATTGCATCGAAAAAGAATTCTCTCGCTTATTTGCATATCTATGTGTGGCGACTTATGAGTATTTTGACGATTATAATCGGTTTCGTTACAATGATTTTGATTCTGTGTTGCGAGTTCCATGACAATTGTTTATATGGGCATAGTAATGTTATTATGTAATCATTAAAATGACAATAGTATACTAAAATTGTTATTTTATGGAAATTAACATGAAAAGAAAAAGTCTTTCCCCTTTCTCCTATTTTTAACATATATTTTGCTTTCACATTTGGGGATTTTTTAATACCTTGATGATGAAACTTAAGTATTACAAAGTTGTTAAATTTATGAAACACACTTTTCGAATTTTTGTTTTGCAAAACTTACAAAGTTCTACGTTTAAGTTTCATTTGAAAAATTTAAAATATAAAATTTTTTTATGAGAAGTGCTTACCCATTCTAATTAATTGAAAACCTTCAGATATATGCCAGTCTTCTCTTTAAAATTCCTTTTAAGTTTTTTTTCAATGAAATTTTCAAAAATTATCTGAATTTTATTTTCAGTTGGCAGGTATGCAAAATGTAAGATTCTTCATTCACAGTTTTCAGAATTGCTATCCTCAGATTATAACACGGCAAATAAAAGGCGAAACGATCCTACAACAATGCAACAGAATGCAACAGGATATCGAAATAATTTTGCTTTAAAATATGGCTCTTATTAGCTACGCCTTTGCATAACAATGCTTTAAAAAACTTAAACAGTTCCACTATTAATCTTAAAAAATCCCAACTTACGTACTTAGCAATCTTAGAAGATCACCAGAAGACTTTTCATCCCATCTGACCTTTTACCTAGAATTATGATAACCCAAATAATCCACTTAAAATACAAAATAAAACTGTTTATTAACACGTCGACCTGATGGTTAAACAAACGGAGAAAATTAACAGGAATAAAACTCAGCTAACTTGTGGGTAGACGAATAGCTTTTAATGCATATTGATTATAAAGCACAAAATTAGCTAAGTCTAGTTTAAAGCTTGCCTTTCCTTGATTAATCGGTCGCCAATCTATGCTGCCAAATTCTTTGATATAGAAATAATAAGTTATAGAAAAGTCAAAATAATATGATAAAGTGTTACTTAAAATAAAAACATACAAGCCTAAAATACTGATTTTCAGCTAATTACCAGAAAACGACGATAACAAATACTTATTAAAAGTACAACTATCAACATTGCTTTCCTTGTAAGCAATTTATGAAAAATGGGGTAATTGGTCGCAGACTGAAAGCAATATCCTTTCTAACCAAGGTTCACAAAACAACTGCGACTACCCATGGGATCAAATGCAGCAAGCATCTGTCAAATAGCAGATGACACCCATTTCCTGAGGATCATTTTACTTTGAGAGATCATTTTAAACATAATTCTTCTAACAATAACTTAAACATTTATTGGTACAATGCCCGCATTCTGCATCTCTACAGCCAATAATAATTTCAACTAAAATTTTCTGTTTCTTGAATGAAAATGTAGTACACTAGAACTCCGGTTATCTGGACTAACTAGGTTCCTGATCTATTCGAATACTCGAAAAACACAGGTAATATAAAATTTCAAACAATTTTTATTTGGAAGATATAGGATTTTATTTATTTATTTATTTTTCGTTTATCAATTTTTATTTTAATAAAGATTATAAAGTTAGTCGCCCAGATGGTATAGTGGTTAGGGGAGCCTACTACGGTACCGAAGGACCCCGGCGGCATGGCGGCGCTCTAAATATGCAGCGAGCCGGTAGTCCTCTGGTGTCGACTGGTGGGAGAGGGGAGGGGTTGGAGACCCCTGGATCCTTCCCAGGGTGCTCTTCCTCAAAATTAGGGGTGGAAAATAGAAGTCCAACCTCTTTTCGGAGTAGAATATAGCAATCATTGTTCCGTGGTATATGGACAAGACAACAATGCAACAACATTATAAAGTTAAGAAAACGTATTTCAAGGGGGGAAAAATCCACTTTACCCTTAAAAGTTAAAAGAACACTAACAGAAAACAACACGGCATACAACAAAAGGCTATAACAGAGAGTAACCAACAGCTACACTACAGAATGTAAGACACTAGTTTCTTGCATGAAGAGGAAATTGACATAACGTCATCGCGTTTGTTTACTCTGTCTTTAGAAAAAGAGCACTATGTTGCTATAGTATGCTATGTGTGTGTTGCTATGGTTAAGCAGTAACTAATAGAATAAACAAGAATCATTAAGCATATATAAAAAATAAATGGATAAATTAGTAAATACCTAATAGTATACCCAGACATACATATGAATACATATTTATTTTTCTATTAATGTTTTAAGGCTCAGTATTCTCTGATTATTATAAGGTATATACTTCATCTAAATTAATTTAGTGATTCCTTTAAAAAATGCATACTGTAGTGCCTTTTCAACTTTTTACATATTATTACTTTTACTATATTAACTTTTTACATATTATTTAAATCAACGCTAAGTTTTTAGAGCAAACAAATTAATGATAAGTTTAAATTTTACTTGGCGTGGAAAGAAACAAGCCATACAACTTGAGTTTTGAATATCTAATATGCGAATCGTTATACTGTACTATGTACGATATGAAAAGTTTTTAAATTCATACGTATGAAGAGATAATTTCTGATTTAATTCTCAGCAAAATCTCACTCACGAAGGTTTTCTTAAATTCACTTACCGATTAAGGTTAGATAAACTTTGGTAATTAAATGAATATATTCTTTGTTATTTGTTTCTCACTAATTTTAATTCTAGATATAATTTTTAGTTTGCTTAAAGCTAGGTTACTTTAAAAACATAATGCCCACACTTTTTCAGCTGAAACAGGAGAAAATAGAACTAAACGTATGTTACCAGCAGGTGTTAATTAGATGCAACCTGATGACATGATTCCTAAAAATCTCCATGTACAACTTTAGATGTATTTGAAAGGCCACGTTAAGGTACAGTCGGACGTCAACGTGAATCAGAAACTACAGCAACATAAATAGATTAGCCCAAAGAAACAAACAATGAGATCTAGGAAATCATTTGTTTAGGTATTCGAAACATATCCAGTTATGATTTATTATTAACTGTCATTGGTCTGGAAAAGAATATGGATTTTGCAGTAACTTTATTTCTCCCTCAATAAGAAGTCATTATAATTATTATAAGCAACATATAATATAGCAATTACAAAACCATATTGCTCAGATATGGTTTTGTAATTGCGGTATTCATATAAATTAAAAACTCAGTAAGGCATATTAATTTACGTATTTATTGCATACTCTCGAACATATTTTAATGAACCATTTTTCCTTCCTTAATGGTTGAGTAATTTAAAGTTATTGGTAAATCAAGAGTAAGGTAAAATCCTTTCTTACTAACATATGAAAGACAACCCGATAATGAATTCTAAGAATACGCTGCGCTATGATTTTGATTCAAATTAAGGAGCAAGAAAGACAGATATCACCTGACTGTAAATGCTGACGCAGTTTTTGACGTGATTTATCTGAAATGATGATTAAAAAGTGTACCACAAATTGTACTCTTTCTGCAAAGGTGAGACTTCTTTGTAAGGGCAACGCTTCCACGATCTTCACCTCTTTTACTCGCGGCCAAGGCTTGAGAATACCCACTTCCGGGTACGTCTGTCACGTGACCAAACTTGCTTCACGTAACACACGAAAACCGGGGAATGCCTCCAAGCATTCTCCACCTTGTATAAATTCTTCAGTGAGAGATCTTTCTTAGGAGATTCATTCGTGAAACAAGTTTTGACAAGACGCATCTTCTCTATCCTCATTAAGGAAATACATTCAAGGTGAGCCTGTGTGGACTGGAATGTGTAACACCACACTTTTTTGTTTAATTATTGTCACTAAACAGTATTGACATTTCTTGATTAAACCATGTACTTAATGCTTGGGATTAATATATTTCCTTTTCAGTGTGATAAATGACATTGCTTTTGTAAGATATGTAATAGTTTCAATACTAAGTTCTGATTAATAGAAATTTTAATGGTATATTAAAAACTGCCTAAAACATAATGATTTTCTCTTTCAGCCATTCTTAAGAAATAGATGATGATTTAAAATGTACTTTTCAAGTGCTAGGTATTAGAGTGGAGTGGCTGGTCTGTTAATAAATTGATAAGCATTTCTGAAATAGTTGGTCAGAAATTTACCACCATGCAATAGCGAATTTGTTTCTTTACCTAAATTTATGAATTCACGAAAAAAAATGTAGTTTGGTAGTCTATATTTAACAGTTCTTTAACGGAGGAAAAAAATGGTTTTTTTCTTTATATTTGTACTGATACTGATTAAAAGCTTATAAATCTTTTGTACCTAATTGCTATAAATGTCTGCATATTATGAAAACAAAAATTAAACAAGCATTAGACGAGGGTAGTCTTTTTGTTTTATAAAAATTAATTGCATCTATTCTGCATAAAAAGCGAAAGAGGACATGAAATGCATTTGGTTAAATGTCGCTGCCTTCTTTTTAAAATTACTTTTTTTTTTTTTTTTTTTTTGAAAATATTCTTTCTTTTCTTCTTTATACTTTTATTGCTCTTCTCTGCATTTTTGACATTCACGCTGTTTTCTTAGTTTATTAAAATGAAATAGACTGCAGAAGAAAGACTGTTGTAGCTTTTACAGAGCTTATATCCTTTGCTCGATAATTGATAGAATGTATAAACTGATAAATGTACCTGGCTAATTAGTTTAACTTACTCTAAGTAACACAGCCCCATTAAAATAATTAAAGATGTATACATACATACTTATATATATATATATGTTAATTAAATAAGGCTAATTAATATGTAACTTAATATTACTGTAAATGGAAGATTGTGCATTTAATTAGATATTCTTGCTGAACTATTTACAAATTCTAGACATATTCAAGGCATTATTATTATTATTATTATTATTTGTTTCGAAATAATATTTTGGTAAAGTATATTTGTCTTACAAACTCTTTGGAGGAATATAATAAAAGCAGCGCAATAATTTGAGATATTGAATCTTAACTATTTTTATCGTAGTTTTATGATCTTTAAAGTAATAGAGTGCGATTGTTAGTTATCTAAAAGTTTCTTATTTAATAATTGTAACTTAAAAATTTGCCACAATTTTATTCTGATTTCTTTTTCTAAGTGAGAAATGAGAAATAAGTTATGCCCTCGGTTTGGGATTCTAACCATTTTCTTACGACGGCAGCCGACGCGCTACCAGTTGCACCATAAAAGCACATACGGGAGAAGGAGAGAATTCGTTACAGTTTTAATAGAAACAGACATATATATACTGCATTGTGATAACAATGAATGAGGACTTAAAATAATAGTTTATTATTATTTTTTTTTGTTTCCTTTTAGTTATTTTCTCATATAAACTTTGCCTGAAAAGAAAAAACAAAAAGTGTTATCTATCCTATTATCAAAACAGTAATGCAAAACGCAAAAGTGATTTTTATTACTGGGAATCAAGCAGGACTTAAATGTCCTCATTTAGAAAATACCAGTAGCGTCATTTTATAGATCTGTGAAATTGTTTATTGACAGCTGAGGTGTATTTACCCTTTGCAGTGTTTTAATTATATTGCATAAAATTGTTAAATTTGTTAACTTTTATAAATTTTAAGGATAAACCTAATTCATCATATTTATTCATCAGAATTTGAAGCAAAGCAAGAAAGAGGAGTTTTAAATATTTTCGAATAAAACTTTAATAAGGGAGGAACATATATATTAGGAATAATCTAGAATTTGCTGCTTGTTTCATAAGAGGAGTTAAAACGGTTATGGATATCAGTTGATGGAAAAAGATATGCAAACGTCAGGATATTTGAAAATTCACGCCGTAAAGCTGCTTATTATTTTTCTTTTTTAAATGTGCTTGCTTATACTTATACCTTAGAGACAACCAATCGCGTTAAACAATTTTAGAGATATGCAGAATAATAAATTAGAATTTTCTATTCGTTCTAATCATGTTACTTTTAAACATTTTCATGCGATATAAGTAATTTTTTACATACGTCGTAGTAAATAATCGTTATCATATGCAAATAACATTCAAGCTGTGTTTAAATAATTTCAGTAAGTGTTTTTAAGGGTCATATACGATTATGTTTTATTCGGACTCTGATAAGAGATTTTAAAAAATCATTTAACAAATTCAATAATTTCAGAAAAAATTAGCACTTCAGTTATATCCGCAATATCTGAAACTTGAATTTTAATTATATAAACCGAAGAATAAACTAAAAGAGTATAAAGAATACAATTGAAAATCGAAAAATTAAAAAAAAAAGAGTATTCAAGGGAATTAATTGAAAAAAGAAGAAGTATTAAGAATTCAATCAAAAATTGAATCAAAGATATTTATCACCATTTTTTGAAAGTGATGTTTTGTATTTTCATTAATATTTATATTTCTTAACCGTTTAAACACTTAATTAAATTATCATCTGCATTCATAGATTTTCATCTTCCCTATTCTAGCCAAAATAAATAGAAAGGATTGGATTTAGAGGAAGAAAGAAAAAATTTAACTACTTTTCCAGATGACCTCACTATATATGCCTTATTCATTTTAGGTCACTGAAAAAAAACTTTTTCCGCTAGACAGATAGCGTTTTTATGAGGGGGGAGGGGAGAGAAAAGCAAAAAGAAAGCATGAGGGTCAGGGCCATTTGCTTATAATCTTTACAGAGCTTGGTCACGCTGTAATAAATGAGCTCTGCGCTACAGAATCTACACGCTGAAGCAGACAAATGTTTTAGAAGACTTCCTGACTAGTTGATTACTACCAAAAATCAATCATGTGGAACTCATAGCCTCAGAAGTGTTCTCAAGATAATAGGATTGCTTAAGATCTCGTTCCTGTTCACAAGATCTCTTCAGGTCACGGTACGCAAAAGTCAGTAATACCGAAGTAACGCGACCTATGTTGTATTTGTATCCGCATTAAATAACGGATGAAATTTAGATAGCTTTTGTTTTTTGGATTAGAATAGCTTCCTAAATGCTGAGTTTATTTTAGTCACAGACTAAAAGCCTATTTGGGAAACTAGGCATAGAAAATATGGGTAATATTAAAAAAAAAGTGTTTTGCCTCCAAATTGTTCTTAGATTGAAACTTGCAAGTTCTTTAACTTGATATAAACTTGCAAGTTCTTTTAACTTTATTTAAACTTCCAAGTTCTTTAACTTGATTTAAACTTGCAAGTTAATTTTTTTTTTTTCTGTAACTGTAAAGCTGCTCTTCAATGATAATCATTTAATTTCATTGATATTTCGTTTTCTTGGTTGGCAAAACGTTTAAGTAACTGTATGCTAATTGCGACAAACTATTCTTCTTTTGAGTGCCAGGAGGAGTTTCTGTTTGTATGTGAGTATCACTCAGCGGTGAGGGGAGAAAAAGGAGAAAGAACCAGGTCTTCTTTAACTTCAGCTAAAATATACTGTTCTAAGTATTTTACTCCAAAGTCGATCATGACCTCGAAACTGGTTTTCTTCGGCTAAAAAAAAAAAAAAAAAAAAAAAATGCAATAAAAGCAAGTAGAATTGCATCACGGGCAATGTTCCCAAGTGTAGAAGTGACGCATTTGACCTGAGAATGAATAAATTGTGAACGTCTGTGAAGGTTGTTAGGTCGAATTCCTGATAGTAACTAAGTTTCACATTCACTGGGTTGTATTAATGCAGATAAGAATGCACAATATTAACGTCCCTTTTGCGCTAGCAGTGGTTAACTGTTTCACGGAGTTTATAAACGACTATGACAAAAATAGACAATTTACATAATAGCAATAAATTTACGTAATCGGAGTCGACATTGAGATAAGTTGATATCCCCCATCCGATGGCAAATGTTTTGTCACAGCTGGAATATAACTGCATATGCCAGCCTCAGCTCCCTGTAATAATATTCAAAATGTTCTTCATTTACCGTTCGAAAGGTATGCGCGTGAAATTTGTATTAGCCGAATTCTGTTGCATGATGTTTGTGTACTCTCTAAAAAAGGAACGTAAGAAGAGGTATCATACAGGGCGGCATAGTTCGTGCTAGAATGAAAATGAGAGTTACATTCGACTACTTGGCACAGTTTGGTGTGGTGGTGTATTTAATTATGGCAAAGCACACTAGGGCTATCTGCCTAAGGGGAGGGATGCCTTTCGTGGAGGACTTTCTAAGGGAAACTGGCTCGTATATACGTTGCACATGGGGAAAACCACGAAAACGCCCATGCAGCCAGCCCGTTCGCGGGATTCGAACCTCGGACCGAACTACCAGTGTTCAGCGTCTTTACCGCTCGGCCGCTGGTGGGCCCTTGGCACAGTTTGAGCAATCGGTATTTAAAAACCACCCTATTTTCCCGATTTCTCACTATTTTTTGTTAGCAGATACTTCTACTTGTCAGTGCTTTCAGACAATTCAAGCTATTTAATACGATGTGATTATTAATCTGTAATAGATGCTAAAAGAATCATTTCGCTAATAATTGCAGGAATGCCAGAACTGGAACACGTGTATATTATCCAATAAATATTATCCCGCATATGATTCTACATGCCTTTTACCACTAACATTTTTTTATTGGAGCATTTCATTTTAGTTTAATTTTACAAAGGATTCGTGTCCTGCAGTACTTAATAATAAATTTCCTTCACAATAATGCTTACTTTCGCATCAAACTTCGTTTGTAGGACCAAGACGCAACATATTAGCCATAAAGTCTTTATCAGAGAAAGTAAATTTTATTTATGTCGTCATGTAATTTTTACTTGTTTTAACATTTTCT